GTCGAACTATTCTCCAAAGCACCTGAGGGCAGGACAAGAAGCAAAGGATGGAAACTAATCAAGGGGAGAAGCAACCTGGAACTACGGAGAAATTTTCTGAGTTAGAACAATTAATCAATGGAACAACTTGCCTCCAGAAGTTGTGAATGGTCCAACACTGGAAGTTTTTAAGAAGAGATTGGCTAACCATTTGTGTGGAATATTATACGTTTTCCTGCCTGAGCAGGGGGTTGGACTAGAAGACCTTCAAGGTCCCTTTCAACTCTGTTATTCTATTCTAGCTCCTTGGAATCCGAATGGAAATCCTATTGAACTATGGAGAAATTTCCTGACAGTGAGAACAATTAATAAGTGGAACAACTTGCCTGCAGAAGTTGTGAATGCCCCAACATTGGAAATTTTTAAGAAGATGTTGGATAACCATTTGTCTGAAGTGGTGTAGGGTTTCCTACCAGGGCAGGGGGTTGGACTAGAAGACCTCCAAGGTCCCTTCCAACTGTTATTATTATATTATAAAGGTGTCAGTTTTCCATCTACCATGTATTTTTGTGTATTCGTTCAACCAATGTTTTGATATCTTCTCTGCATAGCAGAATAACACAACATAATAACATATATACATATATAGTACACACACACACACACGTGTCTTTTATGATAAAGGTGGTAGGTTTGTGAAAAGCACAGCACAGCAGTTTCTCCACCCAAGAGCCTGTAGACAAGATGTACTAAACTACTGCAGAGAGTATTCTATTTCCCCCTAGAAATGAAAACTTTGAAAACCTGTTTAAAAATTAAGGCCTTACTTTTTTTACTTGCTTTTCTCAGATGGCAGCCTGGGCATGTCTTGGAAAAATGCCCACTGGCTGTGCTGCTGCTGAGCACTAGATTTTGTTGGGTCCCAGAAGATACGGATAAACTTGGACTCTTCTGGACAAAAAATAAATAAATAAAAAAACCCTCATCATCATAGGCTTTAGGCCTGATGGGCACTTTGACAAAGTTTGACTTCTCCTATGTAACAATTAGTTGTTGGTGTTTTATTCACACTATTATTTACATTAGGCTTTAATGTAGAGTGAAAGAACCAAAGACTAACAATGGTAAAAATACAAAAAGGAAGCAAGGGGAAAGAGAGAGAGAAAGGAAATCACAAAACCAAATTAAATTATGTAAGTAAAAATCATTCAGCCCAATTTTTAAACAGGCAATTAAACCTTAACCGGACAAACAATACGGTATTGATCAATCTTTGCAGTAGGCAGACAGCCAGTTCATAAATGTACAGAGAATTTATATAATCAATCCCAGATTGTAGTCCATGGGTTGTACTTTCTTCCTGTCCATCATCCTTTGCATATCCATCATTCTTGATAGAATTACACATTCAAGAAAGTTGATCTACAATTCAAAAATGGATTCACTTTATCAAACCACATTGATCTTTCTAACACCATATGAACAACCTAAGGAGGTAGGACTCAGTTCTGTCCAAATCGTGGAGTGTGGGGTTATGTACATTATTGTGTACATTATGTAGCAAAAGCAGCAAACACATATAATACCTATTCCACAGATAGACAAGCCACAAATAAAATGGCATTCACAGACCTACTACCATTTTCTTATTCTTAAAAGTAGTAAATATTTGCACATGGTTTGCAACCACTCTAAAATCATCACATAAAGCCATCTGGTCTTCAAAATGCTTTGCAGAGCTGAAACGTGTTCACAGAACATATCTTCTTCAGGTTATAAACCTACTTTGATAGAGTCCTTTCGTTAGAATCAAAGCACCCTTTCAAAGTTTTGCATGCCCTGATCTATTTCAGATTTCACTAGTTTGTCTTTTGAGTATATAACTTGCCCTGCCTGCTGCCTTGCATCCACTTATCTGGAGGATGTATAATCGATCCTCCAACACAGGCTGCATGGTCTTTCGGAAGAGGAGCAAAAGATGAGCAAAGGATGTTATTAAGCACTCAGCCAGATGATTAAGTGCAAAAACATTATTAATAAAGAAGTACCGGTAGTAAAGAATTAGTAAAGGAGTAAAGGAGTTACTATTGCCTGGAGTTTGATGCAATATTCAGTGAGTGTAAATGGAACTGTTTCATTTTAACTCACTGAGCATGGAGATGAAGGAGGATTTAATTACCTTCAGTTGGCAAAACCAGAAGAAGAATGTTGAAAAGTACAGCTCCAGTCAATTATCTAGGGCAATGAAAGGTTAAGGCTAAGCTTAAAACTAAAGCATGCCACTTCTCTTGGCTTCCAAATAAGAGGCCATGGCATGTGATTGCACACCAGATCATTGGAGAGTGACAAAGGGCTCCAGCTGTAAATCATCTATACTTGTATTTCAAACATCATATGTATCTGTGATGGACCGAGTGATAAAAGCCTTCTTAAATCAAGTGGAATGCGACAGATCCAAGAAATACAGAAGTGTAGGCAGATGCATGGCAGATTCATAACCTTAATTCATTAGGACCCTTTGGTTTTATGTCTTGTTCAATTGTTTTGCCATCCATCAATCCATTTCAATCTATCGCAGATGACTAAACAGTGCTGCATTAATTCTGCCAGATTTTCTGTTTTTTCTGGAAATACAAAGTTTTGGGAGGGAGGAAAGGGTTGCTTTTGTTTGACTACTAGGTTTTGGCTGCACAACTTTTTTTTTCTGATTGTACTTTTTAAAATGATATGAGAAACAGGGAAACAATACAGCTTCTTTAATCCATAGTTCCTAAAATATCACATTTTGGTGGGAAAATATTTAAAAGGGAGGTAATGGAGGGGAAACACCTGCTTCTATGCTAAAAGTAGCTAGACTGAATAGTTCAAATAGTTTTATGCAAAGCAAAAATTGGGGAAGCAAGAAGAAATTCCAGAGTTTTGTAAAATAAACTTAAATATGTCACCTTCTCATAAAATACCAAAGCACTGGAGAGAAATTGCCTATGAGCTACAAAAGGATGTATTTCACACTTGTAAATCACAAACAAAAAAAAATTGGGGGGGGAGAAGGGGAGCAAACCCAGAATCAATAGAGTTTTGACATCTCAAAACTCATCCCATTATATACTGTAGTACTGGTAGTGTATTTTGTGGAACATTTATTTTCTGCTGTGAAAGTGTCATTAACATCTACTTGTCTTAATGTTTCACCCATGCAAAGGTCATTTGTTTGCTTTTTTGGGAAATATTTGTTGCAGCTTTTTTTTTTTTAAAAAGGAGTACTCCATTAGCCTGCTCCCATAATTGTTTTGGTACTGCTGTAGGTTTGCATTTGCCATCATATAAATCAAACCAGGCAATACAAATTGTGCTTGTCAAGGAATGCATGAGAAAAAGTGGGTATGAAGAGAACCCCAAAAGGGTAAAATAAAGTTGGTGGGGGAGAGAATCAAGAATCTTGAGGCTAATCCTTCAGGGAGCTCTTAGGCATAAACTCAGGTTCAATATTTATCTCAATGAATGGTGCAGGAGAATAGTGTTGCTTCTGAATAGTCTCTGTGATTTAGAGCATCTTTTGGGGTGTTTATTTGTCATTTATTTAACCAACTACGTTGGGCTTATTTGCTCTTTATTTTCACTTCAACCCTTGGCAATTTAAGGAGGTGTCCACCTCTACTTCCTTGCTTCCTTCACTCTCTCCTTCCCCAATGATACCTTCAAAGAGCAAAGTGTCCCAAAAAGTCCACAAAATACTTTAATATTGAAAAGTGAAGGACGAATCTCCCAGCATACATCTTCACATCAACTCTTACACAGAGACTTTGCAGATACCAGAAACAATTTAGGCTGCTGGTGCAAATTTCCATGCACTGACAACAAGGAAGGAAGGAAGGAAGGGGAGGGAGGGAGGGAGCGAAGGAAGGAAGGAGAGAAGGAAGGAAGGAGGGAGGGAGGGAGGGAGGGAGGAAGGAACCTAGCTTTTCATATTTCTCTCTCTCTCCCTCTCCCTCTCTCTCCTTATCCCGCCTCCCCCTTTTCCCTACCGCTGCTCCTCGTCTTCTCGGTTTTGTCCAGCTCTCTCCGCCCATCTGGAAACCTCCAGCTTCCAAATCTCCTTTCCCGCCGTCCGCTTTTTCTTTTCGGCACCGATACCATAATGTGCCTGAGCATCACTAGTTATGATAGTATCAGTCACGGTGTTATTATTTTATAACTTTCCCTTCTTCCCGCAGCAACTGTTGAGGTCGGGATGTGTGAAACAGAGGTGGGGGACACTTAAGCGTTTGGAAACGGCGGCCAACAAACGGGAAAAACATGGAAGTGGGAGAAATGGGGGGGGGAGAGAAATATTGGTCACCGGGACGCAGCTTCCCCCCCCCCCACCCCCTCCGCCCGCCTTCCTTTCAGGACTCAAAACTCTGGCGAAGAGAAGCAAAATAAAAAAAGCTTAAAATGGTCGCAGAGGGACTATCCAAAAATAAAGGCGAACTGAGAAAAACCTTGTGCCTCCTGCGATATTACTCAAGGTGAGCGAAGAGATTGGACATAGAAACATTCCGCGATTAGACGTAAGGCGGGGGGGGGGGGGGGGGACGACCAAGCGCGGGTGGGTTTTTTTTGGGGGGAAGGACGGCTGCTGTTGTATATTATTCAAGGCCCCACTCGCTTCTTTCTCGGCCGAATTTCAGCGCAGTGTCCTCAGGGCGATCCAAAGGGTGAAACCCTCCTCCCCCACCCCAGGAGCTGAGCCCGAGGGGGAGGAGAAGGCGGGGGGAAGGATACCGCGAAAGCTTCTGAGGTGTTTTGAGGAAAAATAAAAGCAAAAGTTCATCCTTGGAACGGGTGGGTGGGTGGTGGGGGATTGGGGGTGGGCAGGACTTAGAGGAAGCGCTCAGCGCCAGAGCCTCGGCTCCTCGAGGGCAACCGAGCGCGCCAAGCCATGACATTGGCGAGGCGGCCGAATTCGCGCCTTCCAGGTTCCTATCAGAAACCGCGGCGGCGGCGGCGGAAGAAGAAGTAAACAAACCGGGGTTACTTACTAGAGGGTAACTGGAGCGGCGGGCTGCATCCCCTGCGCTCCAAGGCAGGGCTCGGCTTCTCCGGAGTTCCGAGGGAAGGTGATCCGGAGCACTGGAGGCGGACACCCCGGCTCTGCACGTTTTGCAGCAACTTCCCGGGCTGGCGCGACCCCAAACTCCTTCAAGTCGTCCTTTTTCGTCTCCCCCGATACCACGGAGGCGGACGAGTGGCGCGCAAGGCTGGTCGCGGCTGCTTGTCAGCGGCACATCCTGGAGTGGTTCTGGGGAGGGCTTGGGGGGGGCGGCTGTTTTAGCGGACGGCTCCCGATTGCCGGAAAGGAAAGGAGGGGAGGACGAGCCAACCTGGGCAACCTCCCGAGGCAGGCGGGCAGGCGGGCAGGCGGGCGGGTGGGGAATGGAGAGAAAAGGGACGCGAGGCACCCGTCGAGAGTAGCCCTCGGGAAGCAGCCAGCGGGCGGCGTGCTCTGGATTCCAGCAAGTGTCTCCTTCCCTCACCCTTCATCGCCCTCCCAGCTATCCATCTCCGCGGCCGAGGTGGAAAAGGCAGGCGGGACAGCAGGAAGCAAAAATAATAATGATAATAATAATAACAATAACCACCAACTTCGACAGTAAAGCTGGCAGGACGAGCGGCAGCTGTCCTCCCTCCCTTCTGACCCCGCCTGAACCCTTCAGCAACTTGGCGCCTCGGCTCTCGGCCAGTCCCCGGGAGGGACAGGTGGTTCCGATTAAGGCCACCTTGCCATTTCTGCCCGGCCAACTGTCCCGGTTTGGAGGGGAAAGAGGTGGGGTGGAAGAAGCGCGTGGTAGGGGGCTTTTGGGGTTTTTTCTTTTACCGCCGCTTGCCTGCAAGAGGGCTACTCCGTCCGCCGCGGATCTTTCCGCGTTTCCCTTTCTCCAGCATCACATGGGAAGGACCGGCAGAATTATCCCACGTCTGAAAAGGCCGGATGGTCGCCCTGAAATTCCTCCCGAGCTGAGATCGTCGGCCCGGGTGAGCCAAAGGCTACTAGTAGCGCCCTACCTGGAACGGGGACGGATCTCTCAGTAGGAAGAGCTAGTCAGTGGAATGGCTTTGGTATCCCACCGGAGATCTGCAGGCGCCCTGGGCTGGGATCCAGCCACTCAGCCGCCTGTATCTCTTTTCTCTAGCTCTAGTCTTCAGGAGCGCGAATGTGCCCTTGGGCTGCCCGTTTCCCATCCTGCTTCCCGCGGCCATCCTGCGCCCCCGGCGCCCCTATCTACATCAAGGACTTAGCGCCCCACTTTGCTCCTACTCCGCAGCCTGCCTGCTGCTTTAAGGCCACTCGGACCCTTGTGCTTTAGAAGTAGGGTGTGGGAGGGGTCTGAGGAGAGGCGATTGCCCCCTCCCCTGCTACGCAATAAGCGTGGGTGGGGGGAGAGAGAAGAGCAAAGAGGCAAAACCCGCGGATTCCAAATCCTCCAGGTGACATCGGGACTCGGGCACTAATGAGATCTTTAATTTGCAAAATAGAAGGAGGAGGAGAAGCATTTTGCGGGGTGGAGAACGACAGGGAGGGAAAAGTGAAACGAATGTTCAGGGGAGAATTTACATGCTCGTGGATGGTGGAGATCAGAAGTCTTAGAGAAGAGGAAAGTTAAGAATATTTTATATCCTTCCCCAATCTAAAACTTTGTTTTCAGACTCGAGGTGCTCAGAACTAGTTTGGTGGGTTTTTACAACTTTAAAAATTGAATACTCCGAAACTAAGTGCTTCTTGGATTTGCCACCCCCCTTTCTATATTTCAGAATTGAGAGGATTAAGGTCTAATTGGGGCAGCTTCACTAGCACCATTACTCTGTTTAGCAAATTGCTGTTGAACAACCTGCCTTCCTCTTGCATTCCTGCCTTCTTCTGCCTTCTTGCTTATCCTTGTATTTTGATACAGCCCCTGGATCCAAGCTAAGCAGGGCTGGGCCTAGTTAATATTTGGATGGAAGAGCTTTAGATAATAGTGGGGATGTAGATTATATTGGGAAATTAAAAAATAATGAAGTCCCAGAAACACTTCCTTATTGATGCCAAGAAAACCATGGATGTGTCATTCAAATCAGCAGGCACTGAGCGAAACCTGAAGGAATCTTTACCAAGAAGGTAAAGAAAGATGTTTCTTAGCCAATATAAGGATGGATATAGCCATAGATTCTATTAAAATGCAATGTCCCCAACTCTTTAATACCCAACAAACACATGAATGTTTTAGAGATGAAATGTGTGTCTAGACCACCTGGATTTTCAAAAAAGAAATGTGAGAGAGCAAATGAAAGTGCTAAATTCTTCCTATGTTGTTTAATTCAATGTGTTGGGAGGCCACAAAAGATAGTTTTAATGTGAAGATTCTCTAGGACAGTCATCTGAATGTCTAAAGCTGATGAGCAAGTACAAAAGTTTATCTTCAGTTTCTGGACCACCAAGCTATTTCTGTTCCAACAACCTGCCAATATTTTGTACTTAGGGTGCTTTTCTCCAATGCTATGCCTAAGTCCTTGACATATGTGGTTCATTATATATAAAAAGAATCCAAAGTTCTTTCTGCCTTTCATAACAAAGGCAGAAGTTAGGTTATGCAAGTATTGACTTTTGGTTTGAAGGGGAAATTTTGATCCCAGAAGCTCATAAACTGGACATTTTATCTAGCACTGGTACAATTGAGAATTATAATCCTCTTCATTAAAGAGGCCATGACAGATTCTTCAGCAAAACCCAATTAACTGTTTTGGCCAGAAGAAATGTTATTTTTAGCCATGGTTTCAGAAATGCTGGTGGAATCATTGGCTTATTAAAAAAAATAAATAAATTGGGCTTCCCATTTCTCCCAGGCTTAAATTTTAAGCAACCAAGTGAACTTCCCCATTATTTCGATAGTATGAAATCCATTCATTACTTACACAGGATGCTTAATAAGGACACACATTTTAAAAGTACCATGAATCACGCATGAATCTCATTGAGAATAGCTAAAGAAAAGATTTGTACAATAACAAGGTAAAGTTCTAATGCCAAGTGCTTTTCTTATGCAGCTTTTTAAAAAGCACAGTAAATGTTCTTTCAAATCAAAGATGGTGATGATTGGGTAGAGGATGGAAGCAACTTGGGTTTTTTCCTCCTCACTGGAGGTTTTCAAACAGAAACTGGATAGTTGTCTATTGGGGATGGTGTAGTGAATTCTAAAGTGCAGGTAGTCCTTGACATACGACCACAATTGAGCCCAAAATTTATGTTGCTAAGTGAGAAATTTGTTAAGTGAGTTTTGCCCCCTTTTTATGACTTTTCTTGTCGTATTTGTTAACTGAATCACTGCAGTTGTTAAATTAGTAATATGGTTGTTAAGTGAATCTCATCTCCCCATTGACTTTCTCTGTCAGAAGGTTGCAATAGGTGATCACATGACCCCCACAACACTGCAACCGTCATAAATGTGAGTCAGTTGTCAAGCATCCAGATATAAACCACATGATCATGAGGATGCTGCAATAGTTGTACATGTGAAAAATGGTCACAAGTCACTTTTTTCAGTGCCATTGTAACTTCGAACAGTCACTAAATGAAGTGTTGTAAGTCAAGGACTACCTGTACTCAGAGGGCTGATTTGTTGACCTCTTAAGTCCCTTCCAATTCTACAATTCTACGATGTGATCAGTTGCAAGTGCCAATAAATGTCACAATTCTCAAATTGGAGAATTGCTTGGAATGACTAGAAACTGAAATACTACCTTCATACCAAATGCTTTACAGCCCAATGGAAATTAAGAACCTCTTGCTTTTATTCTTTAAAAATTACTCTATAATTTTTATTGCTTTATGTGGGAGTTACATTTTATATCTGAATTGTAGCGATTTGGATATTTCAGATGATAAGTTTTTAAATTTTATTTGTGTTTTTATGTATTGTCTTGAGTTAAAGCAATTGGATTGAGCACTATATTGGCAGATTAATAAACATCCAATCCAAAAACAAGTATATGTCAGAAGAAAAGGGAAATTGTGAGATTTTTGTCTCTTTTAACTGAAATTTCTGTATTTTAAGGTTTACATTTAGTTTTTCCTCAGCTTAAAAACAAGAACTCTGTTAGATTTCTGATATTAAAGAGAATCTTGAGTATATCTGTGGGATGGGAAGATCCAGTAAGAAAGAGTAGGAAGGAATAGCTAATGATATGCACTCTGAACTTAAAGTGAAAGGTTGTTTTAGCATAACTTACCAGCTTGCTTGCTTACCTCATTAATGCATTTTACACATTTCTATTTGACTGCACTTGAAAGACCTTCCATAATTTACATAAAATACAAAAACCAATTAAAATAATACAAACGTTCATTAAAATAGCACCAACCAAACCAAATAAGTTAAAAAGTAGTTAAAAGTGGAGTGATAAAATTAGAGGAAGAAAGGAATTATTTGAAATCATTCTATTTATAATAATAGTTATATAGTATAACTATTATTATTATAATAATATATATATAGTAGTTATAACTACTAGAATGTCCAAAAGGGAGAGACTACCTTGTTCTTTACTGGAGATTGTTCTCCGCCATTGGTGCTGCCAGCATCTTCTCACTTTAACTCCCTGAACTTCCTCAAAACGTGGGATCAATAAATTTGCTCTCATTTTCTATAGTCAGTTGATCCAACACAATCCTGCAGATATCAGGATGCTAAGCTGGTACTGTATGCTCCCAATAAAGGGAGCTGGAATATATGCAGGCTACAGCAGAAATGCTATAGAAATGCAACTTAAATGTGCAATGGGATCAACGTGAGAAATAACATTGTCTCTCACACTTCATCAAATCATACAATGTTTTCCCTCATAATCACATACACTTAATTTCTTTGTAGCTCCGGCTACAACTGAGGTGAGATATATGACATGAAACTCAAGAAGGAAACTTCCATGCAACCCAGTTTTCTGACTCCTTTCTGATGGCAGTATAATATTCACCCAAGATTGATCTGAGCTGTTTTTGACCATTGGCAGGTCTGTTATCTTTCTTCTCTTGCAACTCTTCCTGTATATAGAAGCCAAGGTGAAGTAAGCAAATCTGACATTGATCTAATTGACAATAGACAAGCTGAAGCTGTCTTTTGTTAACCCAGGATCATTTTTATGTGGCTTGTTGGTGTTAGAGGAAGGCCTTTTCTAGACAAAGGTGTAGATCAATTTTTCAGGCAAGATGAACCCCTTAATTATTAGATGATCCCATAGCTGCAGATATGCAGTTACAATAAATGTTTAGTTTGTTTATTTTTTCTGAAAAGGAGGAGTAAACAGTTTTAAGGGAGCAGTTACCACTCCTACACAAGGAAATTGGAAGTGCATTACTTTCGAGACCCAATCTCTGTAGCCATGCACTATCTCCCAACTGTTGTCCAGCTAAGGTATCTTGATTTAAAAAGAGGCCTAAATGTTTACTTGCTAACATTTTGAAGGGAACATGGTTCTCTTCAAAATTGCCTGTCCCCACTT